TAATAAAATGCCAAAAATACAAGGTTGCATTGCTTGTTAAAAATTAACATATTTACCACAATCCTATTACAACTGAAACACATTCACTTTCTCATCCTAGTTATTATTTTGATTAATTTTTGCTTTTAGAATTTATTTTATTTTTAATCAGTTGTATTTGTTTTTGCATATGAGTAAAGGCACACAGAGGCCAGAGGAGTCTGATTCCCTGAAGATAGAGTTACAGGTGGTTGTGAGCTGGGTGGTATGGGTGTTGGGAACTAGACTCCAGTCTTCTGGAAGATATATATGAGCTATTAATCACTGAGCAACACTGCCATTTTTAAACGTTGTTTTAATTTTTTTTTGAGAAGTTCATGGAATGTATTTTGATCATATTCAAATCCCCTCCCCTAACTCCACACTCAGCCTTCTGCCACCACCCAGTTTCACATCTTCTGTTTTTTAAAAGGCCTATTGAGTCTAATTTCTATCCCCAAATACTTTCATATGTGGGTCTCTTCCCTGGTCAACCTATCTAGCTTCACACCCTTAAATAAAACTAACTCTCCCTCTCCAGCAGCTGTCAGTGGCCTGTAGTTTCTCAGCCAAGATTGGTGTTCTTGCTCTCCCCCCTCATTTTTACGCAGAACTTTTGTCCAGCTTGAGCTTGTCTAGGTCTTGTGCCTTCTGCTAGTGATTAATTTTATCAAATAATGAAGTATCTCGAAACCCAAGCTAGATTCCTTTCAGTTTCTAAGTGGTCATTTTCTCCTTGGACTTTCCTGAATGAAAGTACCTGACAAAGTACTCAAGGGATCAAGTTATGGCAGAGGGAGATACAACAGGGCAGATTTCCTGTTTAGTTTAGTAGAAGTTTAGTGGAGCCCCATTCAATGCCAGGGCAACTAGAATTTAAATAGACCAAGGGGCACAGTTGCATCAGTTTCCAGTTTTATTACTATTTCCCCCTAGGTCACAGATAAAGACTTTATATCATTATTAGTTATTGATTATAATTTCTCAGGATTCATTTGTTGCACTCAAGGAACACCTGATGTCACATCCAAGTATTGTAGACACATCTTGAAAAACATGGGCTTTAAAA